AGGTATTTGGTACTGGATGATTTAAATGGTAGAAATGAACTTGTGTCCTATTCATTCTAATCTCATTTATTTGCATTATGTTTTATTCATTCAAGTTCTAATGTTTCTGACTGTTTTTAAGACAATATCTTTTGTGTCGATCATAGTTCTATGTAGCTTGATATCTCACGGTAATTTTGAGAGAAAAGCAATGCAAGCAATGATTTCTGAATTGTAGCGACAATCGCGTTCGCCTTTGCTGTTCTTCAATAATATTTGACAAGCAGTATTAATTAATTTTTCAAGGACTCATGATAAATTCGTTTAACAGTTGATTACCCTCGCTTGATTCTTTTGTTCGGATTATTTGGCGGGGAAAATGTATTATTGAAAATGTATTATTAAATCAATTAATATTCTTATTTGTTCATCGTCTCAATTTATTATATTATCAACAATGATTATTATGGTTGGTGGTGTTACTAATGTTATTTTTGTAATTATCAGGTGGGCTGTATATCGTACAGACCACCTTATAATTTCGTTAGAATTGCCTTTGTTTATTTATTTATTTATTATCAGGTTGGCTGTATATCGTACAGACTACCTTATAATTTCGTTAGATTTGCCTTTATTATCAGGTGGGTTGTATCTTATACAGACCACCTTATAATTTTGTTAAAATCGCCTTTATTATTCTTTATTGTCAGGTGGGCTGTATATCGTATAGACCACCTTATAATTTTGTTAAAATCGCCTTTATTATTCTTTATTGTCAGGTGGGCTGTATATCGTATAGACCACCTTATAATTTCGTTAGAATTGCCTTTAATATTTATTTATTCATCAGGTGGGCTGTTTATCGTACAGACCACCTTATAATTTCGTTAGAATTACCTTTAATTATTTATCAGGTGGGCTGTATATCGTACAGACCACCTTATAATTTCGTTAGAATTGCCGTTATTTATTTATCAGGTGGGCTGTATCTAATACACACCACCTTATAATTTTGTTAAAATTGCCTTTATTATCAGGTGGGCTGTATATCGTACAGACCACCTTATAATTTCGTTAGAATTGCCTTTATTTTTTTTTTTACTCATATCAATGCCTTTCATAGCAAAAGCGCTCCTCACAATTTCTGTAAATTTGGCAGTTTAACGCTACGCGTACCGCCTTGACCGGACTGTGCGGTATCTGTGCAGTTCTGTGTGTAGAGAGGTCGGGTCGTATTCATTATTTCTTGGGGGTGCATAAATTGCTCTAATTATACGTACGCGTGTAATGCGCAAGCTTATTGTGACGGCACTAAACCCATCCCACTCATTGTTCCCCTATTTTCATAATGGTACTGACCCAATGAAATGGCCGATGCTGCTTCTTATTTAATTTTTTAGATTTCTCAATCTCAGATATAGTCTATACATTTTTTTTTGTACAGTAAATGCTCCCAAATCTCAATGGTATATGAAGTGATAATGTCATGAAGAACATCACATATTTACATACTTTACTAAAATTAGCTTAATTTCATTGCTAGAATCAAACTCTTCGAAGAAAAGATCTAAAACAAAGACAAAGTCAAGAACACCAATTCGCTCTTTCTCCGTCCACATCTACAGTAGGTTTGATATACATACTACGTTGGGCTGGTACGCGCTGCGCTGCGTGTGTACATGTACTGTACTTATGCATGTTCAATATATGTGTATGCATAGCATTACGTACATGTATGCATACACGGCTAGCTGGCACCAGGAAGCTGTAATGAATGGAGATACCGTCTCGAAAGAATTTTCCGAGGGAAAATTATTCAAGATTAACCTGGCTTAACAAAAAGAAATGTAACCCTCTCCAGCCATCATTTCCATCAACAGCTGTCCATATCAATGCACAGCCCATCTCTGGCATTCCAAATAGTACGAAATGTTACGCAACGCCATCTGCTTCCCTAAGATCTCTATTCACTCGTTTTCCAAAATATGCAAGCATCGGCTTTGAAGCCATGCGTGGCACCGACAAATTAAGTCATGTTCATGAAAGATGTATTTAGCTATAACATATAAAATGCAGAATTCACAACATTATGACCAATGCAACTTTCTATTAGTCATCAAATGCGTTTCCCGTTCTCGGATAGCTCTACTGAAGACATGGCCACATTTTAACCAGCGAAATCGACCAAGGAAATCATGAGTTAGAGCGAATGAAAGATTTTCATAATCATGATTTTCTCATCTAATTATTGACATTTTCCGAAAATTTCCGAAATTTGTACATAGCTAGGAAGGTAGTCCAAAGGTTTATCTTCCTAAAGAACTAAATGAAATTGTGTTATATGTTTGCGCATTTATTGATTTAGGGCTAGAAGTTGTCAAGTTAGCACCACTATTCACCCAAAGTACGGGCCGGCAAAGCAAAAGCCGCCGTGCTCGCTGGGCTGGGCTGTGTGTGGAAAGGGAGGACTTAGTGCTACTAGGGAGCTGTAAGGTTTTGGAGGGGGATTAAGGGGATTACGGTAGGGGAAACAAAAGACGCGCGGTGCCACGGATGACTTCAAAGGGGCCTCTTGGACGGGATCTCCATTCATTACAGCTTCCTGCTGGCACAAAACCCTGGGTCGGGCTTTTAAAATGGGACATGAAGCATGATTTGACATGAAAATTGACGGGGCTAAAAATGATTAATAAAATTAAAATGATCTTTATATGTATGAAAAGCTTACGTATCATATAACATTGTCTGGGATTGAGGATTTACAAATTTGACACAAAACGCGTTGCTGCAAAGTTGAAGATTGGTATATTAAAAGGCAATCGAGCACAGTGCGACCGATCAATGGACATTATGTATGAGAAAGTAGAAAAGTTAAATGGATTGTAAAGTTTAACGTCAAAATGACGGAGGTTTTTTTTCAAGTAAGGGCATGGTTTTACATGGAATGGAAAGGAAATGTTTCCTTCTTCTCATATCTCGATTGAGGATATTATACTCAATTTCGATTTTTAATGGTAAAGAAAAGTGTAAAAAGATGTCGAGAATTTTACAATATGTCATGTAATATAAAATGCGCGCGGGTCGGTTGATCTCCCAAAAGGAGCGCGAAGGAATTGATATGATTTCAAACCACTTTTTTGTAAGCACGATTACTTGAAAATGGCTCAATCAAATGCCTTCAAATTTGGCACACATATGTATAGGCATATGTACAAAACACAATGAGGTTTTCAACTATGACCTTCACTGATGACGTCATCTAGGCGCCATTTTGTAATTTTTTTCTGAAAATCAACTCATGATCATATCTTCATAACCAAAAGCCATTTTTGATTCATATTTATCATGATTAAGGTCAATATTCGTCCGGTCAATTTCAGGTCAAAAAACGCGCGCGTGCGCCTACGTCCGCGCGTCAGTGCGCGCGCAAAATATTAAAATGCTCAAAATAGTCTCAAAATAATTTTACATACGTTTTAGGCCATTTTAAGCATTTTATAAAAAATCTCGAATCTCTGTTTTCGCGCGTTCTGGCATTTTGCAAAAAAGAATCGCCAATTTTTCTTTGTCATCATATTTGGCATATTTTCCCAAGCATTTTGATACCTTGTTAACATATTTCTGACCATTAATAACGGAGTGAGGGTCCGTTTAAGATACACGTCCGTGCGTGCGAGCTCTTGCAATACATAGCATATATGGGCAAAAACATGCCTATACAAAATCCATTGTAGCTCTTTAGATTGTAAGGTGATCCCAAATTTTGTTTCATATTTTGTAGAGTATGAATTGGAAATATGATTTCTTGTCTCATTTGACCCTCAATTAACTCATGACGTCATCATAATGGCCTCCGAACTCAAAATTCCAATTTGCATATCATGACATCAGCATATTTTTGGAAAATTGATTGTATCTCTGTAAATGTTGATCGATTTTCTTCCAACTTTCGATATGTTCTAGCTGAGATAATTCACTTCAAATGTCGGCGGAGCAAATGTCGGCGGAGTATATGTCAGCGGAGCAAATGTCGGCGGAGCAATTGTCGGCGGAGCAAATGTCGCGGAGCAATTGTCGCGTTTTGCGGAGTGTCGGCGGAGCAATCGTCGGCGGAGCATGTGTAGGGTTACCACTACGTCCTCTTCCTTTCTTCTTTTTTTCTCTCTCTTTTTTTTTTTTGGCCGGCGTTTTTTTGGGGGGGCGACCGCCCCCACCGCCCCCCCTGGCTACGCGCCTGCTTCACTCATGGTTTAATTGAAATCATGATGGCATTCGTCGGGTGTTCCAAAAACTTCTCGCTCTCCATGTTCAACAATAACATTAAACAGTAATTGTAAACGGTAAACAGATGTTTGGAGGCATAATATGCAAGTGGTTTTTATTCTCTCTTCCCCTCATCTACATTCTTTTTTGCTCTTCCTTCATTCCGTTTCGGTCTATCATCTTACTCTGCGATCTCCTCTTCTTTAGCATAGGTCTTTACTTGTGTCATAATGTATTCAAATTTGTTTGTAAATCGAATTGATATTTTTTTTTGTGCACATTCATGTACCTTTATGTTATTTATTATTATCTTCTGCCAGTGGAGGCCAAATATCTGTGCTTTTTTAACGTGGACCAAAAAAGAAAGAATCTGATATGCAGTAATATACTAATATAGAAATTAGGTATAACATTGCTCAATCAAAAATCATCAAGGAAATGGAAAAATACAGGGAAATAAAAAAGACACGCGAGGAAAAGCTCTAAGTATAAGAAGAGGGAGAAGAGACATCCCTGGATAAACATTGACGTTTACAGTCACATTTAATTTTAGACAATGATGAGATATATAATTTAAAACACAACACAAACATAGGAAAATAGAAGGAAATCAAACGTTGAATACAAAACATAAAATCCCTTCGGGCTCAAAGTCCAAACGCCATTCCCGTCGACAGTGATGCCACATGATCGAAACAAGAGTGTATATATTCCAGTGCCACGCGATGGTATTTTTCATAATTATCATCAAGAGTTATGCCCTCATTTAATATATTACCAGAGACTTGAGATTCCAGATTTAATCACCGCGAGGATTTGAGTATATCTACCGACCTTGATCTGAAACATCATTTTTCGCAGACAATCTCACAAATAAATCGTATCGATATCGACCGAAGGAAGAGACGTCGTGTAGGGTAAGTTGAGACTTGAGATTTGTTGAAAGACCGGTTTACTAACATATATTCAAATTTATGAATGTTTCTTTCCTGGGGTCCTATAGTGAAGAGGTATCCCATTAACCTGTTATTAATTATTGAACTACAGCTGTACTTGGAATCCAGTCTGCATACATTATTATGCTGCTATATTAGGCAAGCCTCGGACAAGCCTTCAACCTTTGTTTCAAAAGTATGTATAAAATTTGAATATGTTAGTTAACATTATTAGAGAACAGTGTTATGCTATAGTCACATTACCCAAAAGTAGCCTGCTCGGCGGCCGAGCGGCGAGTTTTTAACCACTTCTGCCCGGCGGCTGGTCGGCCACCGAGCGGCGGCCGCTCAGGCACCCTTCGTTTTTAGGGCATCGCTAGGTCGCCGACGGCGGAGTTAAAATTTGGGCGGCGCCTGCTCACTTTTCACTCGCCGCCCAAAATATGCTCGGTGCCTGGGCGGTCGCCGCCCGGGCACCGACCTAATCGCTGGGCGATGCCTAATTCCAGCAGCGACCAAGCATGCAGGCTACTGATCGGTCGGTCGCTGCTCTGATTTGTGACCATAGCTTTAGCCGCGATCGGTGTGTACCAACATGGTATCTCTTAACTACACCGAATTAATATACCCCCTCAAAATTGTTGGATCTCAAAGAAACTTTCCCAAAGAAGATTTCCCGGCCAATTTCGCGAGTCTGTCGTTAAAACTTATTTGTATTGCGTTCAAATTCGACGGTTTCAGTGCTGTCAGGTATATCTCGGGTTTATATTCCTTTTTCTAGTTTTCAAATCTATGAAGTTTTTGTTAGAGTGTATGTATGTTTCATTCAAATTAATCAATGAACAATGTGCTTCTTTCGCTATTTGGTCATTCAATTTGGCGCAACACGATTTTCTGACATCGCGACGGTGTACTTCTAGCATTCTAATAATCCATCTGTAGCATTTAAATTAGGACTTTGTGCACTTAAATTGATGCTCAATATACATTCTAGTTTATTACACACTTTTTATATCTCATTCTTTTTCTTTCAAGATTGTTTTGTTCATGTGTATTTCATCATATTTTTTCTTCTTGAATGTATACACTGATATTCATCAGAATTTAAGTTTGATTGTTAAGAGAAAAAAAAAGAATTGCATCTACGGACTTGATGGTCTTAATATGCTTGTAAATTTTCATGGTTACTTAATGTCTGACTATACCCATATGCATTTTCTTGAACATGAATAAATGGAATAAAAGAATAGACCCCAATGGCAAAATCATGCATTTTAATGTGTACCAACATGGTATCTCTTAACTACACCGAATTAATATACCCCCTCAAAATTGTTGGATCTCAAAGAAACTTTCCCAAAGAAGATTTCCCGGCCAATTTATTTGTAGCATTCAAATTAGCACTTTCTGCTCTTAAATTGAAGGTCAATATACATTTCTCTATTTTCACACACTTTTTAAAGCTCATTATTATTGTTTGAAGATTGATTTTCATGTGTATTTCATTATTTTTTTTTCTTGCATGTATACACTTATAGATTTATTTGATATTCATCAGCATTTAAGTTTGATTGTTAAGAAAAAAAAAGACTTGCATCTACGGACTTGATGGTCTCAATATGTTTGTAAATTTTCGTGTAAGGAAGTTGTTTGTCTTGTGTTTCATCATAAATTTATCATAATGTTATCATAATTTCATAATGGAATAAGGTACAATATTGTGACTGGGGTAGGGACTAGAGTCACATGATTTAAAACTGTAAACGTGTGTTGCATTTCTTCCCCCTAACATTCCTAAATAACTTGAATAAACATATTTTGTATACGAATGACAGGTGATAATTTAAACGATAAAAATTACGCCTCGCCAAGTGACGACTTATTTGAATGCTAGTTGAGCAGTTTCTAAATTGAATGGCAGGCTATGACAGTGGCGGATCCAGGGGGGATGTTAGGGGAAAGAAATGCAACATACGTTAACAGTTTTAAAATAATGCAATTAAAATGCATGATTTTGCCATTGGGGTCTATTCTTTTATTCCATTTATTCATGTTCAAGAAAATGCATATGGGTATAGTCAGACATTAAGTAACCATGAAAATTTACAAGCATATTAAGACCATCAAGTCCGTAGATGCAATTCTTTTTTTTTCTCTTAACAATCAAACTTAAATTCTGATGAATATCAGTGTATACATTCAAGAAGAAAAAATATGATGAAATACACATGAACAAAACAATCTTGAAAGAAAAAGAATGAGATATAAAAAGTGTGTAATAAACTAGAATGTATATTGAGCATCAATTTAAGTGCACAAAGTCCTAATTTAAATGCTACAGATGGATTATTAGAATGCTAGAAGTACACCGTCGCGATGTCAGAAAATCGTGTTGCGCCAAATTGAATGACCAAATAGCGAAAGAAGCACATTGTTCATTGATTAATTTGAATGAAACATACATAGATATTAACGAAAACTAGAAAAAGGAATATAAACCCGAGCTATACCTGACAGCACTAAAACCGTCGAATTTGAACGCAAGACAAATTAATTTTAATGACAACTCGCGAATTTAGCCGGGAAATCCTATATTATCACCCGTAGTAGTAGTAGTAATAGTAGCAGTAGTTTCATTATCATTATTATTATTATTATTATTATTATTATTATCATTATTATTATTACTTACGTCATTATTTTGCAATTGTATTATTATTATTATTATCATTATTATTAATATTAATGTTATCATTATTTCTCCTTCCAGAAATCACAGAAGCAGAGAGGGAGGTAAGATAAGAGGAGATGGACAGGCCCAACAAATCATATCCTGGGGGCGGTTACCAAGGCCCCAACCCCGCACCTCATCATTATGGCTCAATGGAAGGGACGGGGCAGGTTAACAACTCTGATTGTACAGCAAGCACTAGTCCTGCTCAAATCATTCCAATCGAGGTTGAAGATGAACTCAATGAGAACATCTACAAAATGTCTCCTCATGTTCCGGTAAACAAGTTTTCTTCTTTGCCTCCTCATTATTCGGCTTCTAATTCTTCATCTCCATTTCCTTCTTCTTCGTCTTCTTATTATCTTTATTATTCGTCTTCTTCTCCTTCTTCTTCTTCTCCTTCTTCTTCTTCTCTTCTTAAACTTCTTCTTATTCTTTTTCCCTCATGCTCCCCCTCTTTATGTTTATTTTTTCCTTCTATATGATTTAAATATTCCCTTCTTTTTTTTTTTTCTTTTGTTTTTCTTTATTTTCTTATTCTTCTACTTCTTCTTCTCCCCTTCCTTCTTCTCCTTCTCATCGTTCTCTTCTTCTTGTTGTTCTTCCTCTTGTTCTCCAACTTGTTCTCCTCCTTCCTCCCCTCCTTCTTCTCCTCATCCATCTCCTCTTTCTTTGCCTACTTTTCCTCTTCTTTATTTTGTTATTCCTCTACTCCTTCTTCTCCCACTTCCTTCTTCTTCTCCTCCTCCTCCTTCTCGCTTTAATCACTACTTACATTTTCAAAATGTTTATCAAAATGAATTTTTTAGAGTTACATGTTCATAATGACAATAATTTGTCTATTTGGAGCTAGAGCTATATTGCCGTTGCTTTTCAGTATAGTGAAATCAGGCTCGGTGTAAAAATGTCAGAGGAAAAAATGTCAGAGGTAAAAATGTCAGAGGTAAAATGTCAGAGGTAAAAATGTCAGAGGTAAAAATGTCGGAGGAAAAAATGTCAGAGGTAAAAATGTCAGAGGTAAAAATGTCAGAGGTAAAAATGTCAGAGGTAAAAATGTCAGAGGAAAAAATGTCAGAGGTAAAAATGTCAGAGGAAAAAATGTCAGAGGTAAAAATGTCAGAGGAAAAAATGTCAGAGGTAAAAATGTTAGAGGTAAAAATGTCAGAGGTAAAAATGTCAGATGTATAAATGTTAGAGGTATACAATAAAAACAAAAGCATGTGACAAGCTTGTTATAATTACACCCGGGTTATATATTTAATTAGGCTTATCGAAAAAGAACAGCGAGGGATATTCTGCAGTCGTTATTTCACCGCTGCTTTATTTTCCACTTTCCCAGTTTAAATTTATTTACCTTTCGGCCCAAAATTGTGACTTTTTGCCCGATTATTGCCGATTATGTCGATTATTCTTCTGGGGCACGGTGACCCGGCTGCTCTCCCCTTCCTCTTAAATATATGCTTTGCTTTATATATCCTTCCGAACAGTGGTCAATACCTAGGCAGAGCAGGCAGACTATAATGGGACATGGTTTCTACTCCGAGTTTCGCGCCTTGCAAGCAGTCATCAGGCAACTGATAGCATTCTTAAAAGTACATGATTATCCTACAACCTTGGTACAAATACCCCTAAAATAAGAATTAACTAATAAAAATACAATTGGAATTACTCATGAGTATTCTTATTGCATTGTATTCAGGTATTGTAGTCTTATTTTTCATTTCATTTCATTTATTTTCATATTTCTCATAAACATACAATGTATGTTTATGAGAAATATGAAAATAAATTTTGTACTTCATTTGAAATAAATGTCATTTATTTCAAATGAAGTACAAAATTGTTTTTATTTTAATAACAAATAATAATAACAAAGATAAGTGGTCAATATGAATTTGTGAATTAACTAAGAGAAATATGATGGGACCTACATGAAAGCAAGCTTGTAAGGCTGTAGGCCCCAGTAAAGTAATTGTGGTAATAAATGGAGGACGGATATACATGTATTGTATAGCTCTTATTTTAAGCGTATTTGTACCAAGGTTGTAGAGGAATCATGTACTTTGACGAATGCTATTGTCTGATGATCGCTTGCAAGGCATGAAACTCGGAGTAGCAACCATGCATGTCCCATTAGTCTGCCTTATTCAATATTTATTTACCGGTATATTATGCTTTTGTATAAGCAAATGGTACTGGTACACTGAGCAAACTTCTGGGGGGAAAGATTTCTAAAATCGAGAAGTTTGGCCATGTTTTATAGGCTGAGTTGTCGCTCCATGGTGTAATCATTAAATAAAAAGAAAAGTCAGTACAGCCCACAAAATAGGATCAGATATCTATGAACCTCCCCCCCCCCCCCCACACTTCTCCTTCACTTTTGACTACTACTACTATTATATGTAATTTCCAATAAATGCATATTTCCGACAATTCCACTTTCTTGTGGGCTTGGTATTTTGATACTCTGAAAGTAGGGTCCATGCTGAAACAAAGCAGAAAGCCATGTTATCAGTGCTAACCGCACCATCACATTCCCGAAGTGCGCACGTTGCAATAAAATATTGTCGATTACTATTGCGGTATAAAATAGTCTGGGAAAAATCAATAAGCAGCTTTGTTACTCCGATACAAAGCAGAAAGCCGCCCACGTTACATCAATTAAAGAGAAGGTTGAGTTCTGGGGAAAGGTGAACAATAATATGTGAGTGTTTGTTATCATTCTTATTATGCAAGTGTAGAAGAACATCAAAGAAAAAAGTTATTCCTTGAAAATCTATTTCAAATGACTTCATATCCCAGATATTAGTAACAGCTTTAAAATGAGGCCCGATTTGTATGCCATATGTTTGTGTAGTCCCATATCAATATCTTTCTGTGTACAGTGCTTGTTACTTTACCAAGACTGGGCCAAAGATTTTATCATTTTGATGACTCCAAAACCTTGCACTACACACCAATACTTACATGTTTATGCTAGATGATCAACCTTTTCTGATTGCTTCCACACCGTTTCTTTCACAATGCAATCGCAAGACCAGAACTCAACTTTATCTTTAAATGCCAACCGCACCATCACATTTTAGAGAAGTGCGCGCTTTGCAGAGGTTCGGTTTAAATGACATCGTTATTTATAATTGTCGGAGAGTTTAAAATGGGGATGAGCTTCTGAATCGAGACAGTCTTTTACTTTTTGGAGCGGGTTTTTAGTTTTCGGAGCGACTTTTTACTTTTCGGAGCGACTTCTTGATTTTCTTATTCTTACTCTACTTCCTTTGCCGCCATGAGGTGCTAAAGCTTTAGCAGTGTTCGGGGCGCCCAGCCCTTATATGTAACTTTTCGTGATTCCTCGGGATTATGTAACTATTTTGTACTAAATGCACTACTCACTTTAACACTTGACTTTTGTCGAGAATTTTCATTTCTTCGTTTGGACTTTGTTCGTCTCTGGAACGTTACACGGGCTATGTTGCAGGCTGCCACCGGCCAAACCGGTCCGTTTCACAAACATTAACACATCAACCAAATCAAAATATCAAAAAATGTTAGACATTCATTATATGCAAGCCTGATCACAACAAAATAAATTTCAAAATCTATTTTCCACATTGTATTATCCTCAGGACATGTACGAAATACTTTGCTAATTTTTTTTGCTTGTACTTCTGACATTTTTACGACTGACATTTTTTCCTCTGACATTTTTACGACTGACATTTTTACCTCTGACATTTTTACGACTGACATTTTTACCTCTGACATTTTTACCTCTGACATTTTTACCTCTGACATTTTTACCTCTGACATTTTTACCTCTGACAATTTTACCTCTGACATTTTTACCTCTGACATTTCTACCTCTGACATTTTTTCCTCTGACATTTTTTCCTCTGACAATTTTACCTGGCACCTGAAATCAGCTGGGGTGTGAAATAACGATTATCGCGTGTTTCATTTATTACACATTGACGGAGTTGAGTTTCCCTGTAGGCGGAATTCCAAACACTGTTAAATCACGAGTTTGGGTTGTACCGGAAATGTTTTCTCTTAGAATGAGAAAACGAAAATTACACTGCTTGTTCAAGGCTACAAATTAATTATACTTGACATTTTTTGTTTCTACAGAAAATGTTCAATAATCCCCAACATAATTGCAATGCTATTATTTCTCAAATTATAATGAGTTTAGTGTACATGTATATAAATGTGATGGCATTTTACACCATTTAAAAGGGATATGAAACCGATTCTGATGATTAAGTTCTTTTGTTTGTAAATACAAAGGGTTAATTACTCAAGTTGGGTTTTAAAATTTGCCCGAAGCAGATTGGACACATAATTAGTCCAAAGGAAAACAAATCACGCAATATTTCATTTGTGGCATTCCCCATGTTTTTTTTAATATTTTTCTCTCTCTCTCTCTTTCGGTGTATAACTGTGAACCATTTTATTTCCCTTCTGTAGATCTCGCATGATGATACCTTTAAGGAATCGAGTGCCATTCAGGGATTCGCCTTCATGAAAACAGGTAGCCGATTAATCTATGAATACACCCACGTGAGTAAACTTTCATCATGGCAAAGTCTCAGATTTTATCCCTTCTATAACATCAGATTCACTCTAAAATTATACGTTAAAGCGGCCACACTGTAGAAGCAATCCCGCAAAGTCCCAACTAGCACCATTGTTAGTTGTAGTAGGATGGTCCCGTAACTCGCTGCTTCCCTATAGCTGCGCTGTTGGTTCTCCCATCGAGTCCTCTGTCTATAAAGTTGATTTGATAATTCTTTTAATGTGGATGAGAATATATTTAATCAAATTTTTAAAGATCTATTATAAAGTCAAAAGAGTTTTAATTTTATTTATTTTATTTTCCATAATGCTTTTGGTTTACTTTTAATGCATTTTTGTTCAAGATTGGGAGAAAGGAGTCTGCTAATTGTTATTTTTGTTCAGATTTTCCAGAAACCTTAGATCACTTGATTTGTGACTGTAGAAAAGTTGTACCACTGTGGGAAAAATTGGTGGATAAGATTAACACTGGCAGTTATCACTGTTATAATCTGACTCTGTCAAAATTTAATTATTTGTTTGGGAAACAGTCAGGGGACAAACACGCCTCTTGTACAAATTTTCTCTGTTTAAATGTTTAGAATATTACATTTACCCCTGTAGGTTTCAGGGAAAAGAACTTATTTTCGAAGCTTTTGTTTCAATGGTAAAGTTCAAACAAAAAATAGAATATAAAATTGCCCAAAAGAAAAATATGTTGCATGTCCATTTTAAGAAATGGTCTATCCAGTCATGGACCTATTACGGATGGACATTCGACGTGATTCTTTCTTTGATCCAATGAGGTCCACCGCCTTCTGAATATTTGCATCTTAATGAGAACATTCAGCTGTTTTAACAATAACGACTGCGTAAGCATTTTTGGTCATAGACAAAGGAGCAGTTTCCCTCTCTTGGGTTTTGTTTGGATGGTGTGCTCTGTTAGAGTGTGTCTTAAATAAAAAGAATTACCAATGGGGAGCAGCAAAGTTGAAAAGCAGACGATTTCGGTGATATGAAATTTATTATTACTGGTTCGCACACTTTCGCACGCACCAATGACCTTATTAGAAGGCCATGATCTTTATAAGCCATGTGCGTTGAAATTCTGGAATATTATGAGGAAATTGGGGAAAACGGAATTTTAAATCACAAACAATCCAAATATATCCTATCTATAAATATATCAACATGTTATTCAAAAATAACACACAGTACACGGAACAACAATTTCCGATTATTAACCACAACTGCACATCGATTTCCCATGAGTTTAGCGATTTATTATCTTCTGCGCATGTATATTAACATGTTTAAAATCACTTTCTTGATTCTGTCCCGGCTTATTGGCGGTGGACCTCATGAGATCAAAGTGAAGAAACATGTACGGAATGTTATTGAGATGACATTGACGGAGACAATCACAATGAATTCGTTAACAAAACGACGAATGTCCATTCGTAATCATGAGTTCAGTATCGCTTTAAATCGTGTCAAATCATCATGTATAGGCGTTGAGGAGAGGAAATATTTAAAAAATGGTAGATTTGCACTGCTAAGTATCGGGGTTACAATTCGTAGACTTTCGTAGTCTACCACTTTGAAAATGTCGCCTTTTTAAATGTTTGGACATTTTCAGCACAGGAGTCATTTCGATTGAGTTTTTATAGATACGATTATCGAAACAGGTTGTGTATATAAATAATTCGACATAACGTTTGTGCTGTTCATTATGCAATCACGCATGTACGATATCGATCTCCCATGATTCATCAAAGACCACGCCAATCGTTGACGCAGTCCTGCATTAGGGAAATAACGCATCCAGTGGCGTAGACAGGTTCGTACACCTGGGGGGGATGACTGGGCTGCCAACGCTAGTGAGGGCGCGAAGCGCCCGAGCGAGGGTGTGGTAGGGGGGTGTCCCCCCCCCCCCCTCCCACGGTATAGGGAGCTTTTGCAATTTTGAACTTGAAATCGTGCAATCTGATGCATACTTAATGAGGTAAAATAACACACACAAGCGTGCACACCCACACACACATACTCACACACACACACACATACTACGCCTTGAATGGACAGACATACATCGACAAGATCTACACACCGTGGCATACGAATACAGAATGGACTGACACATAGTATTGCATATTGAACCACACTACGTATTTATTTATCTCTGTGAATTTTGCTGTTACACCTCTTCAGAAAAAAAACCAATGTCAACTGTGCACACGCAGGTATAGTCTTTGTTGTCTTGATAGGGGTATGTGGTTATGAATGAAAACAGCCTCTGTGGCCATTTGAGAATAGAACACATAAACAACAAACAAATAACGATTAAACTTTGAACAATATGTCTGTTCATTATAAAGCATAATAAATACGTACATACTATGCTTTTTTTACCTCAAAGAAACAGGCATAGTATCCATAGATGGATATTGGCTGGCGGCTCATTAACATACAGATACAAAAAACATAAACAGTATCACTATGACCCATGGAGTAACAATACTGCTTTGTAAGTTTGTGAAGAAATCGGAACCATAACGGCATTGCATCGTTTCAAATTAGGGCATTATTTACTTCTATTTCATCTCAGTCTTATAATAGTAATAGTAACAATAATAATAATAATAATAAAAAAAAAATAATAATAATAATAAAAATAATAATAATAATAATAATAATGATAATACAAATAAAAAATAATACTAATACAAATAATAATGCTAATACTAATAGGTTCCTTTTATCTCGCATTTCAAGACAGGGTAAATTCACACTGCGCTTTACATGAAACAAACTTCTTTAAACATTTCAAACTTGTGTCTTCATGCATCAATCAACATACTTTAAATGAATACAAAACAAAGTGCATCTTAAATAAAACAAAAATAAATAAATAGTTAACAATACAGAAAAGATGTAGCTGCTGCAAGCTTAACAACAAACTAATGTATACCAGTTAGTCCTGATATCAGTATTAGTGTAACAATAGTCATATAGTGGGAGCATGAAGTTGAACAATTCATGATTATACATAATTATATATGTTTGTTTGAATAATACTTGTTATAAAGATAGTAGTATGGTACTCTCTGTCACGAATTATTATGTATACTGTTGTATCACATTCATTGTCTATTCTGTTTTATAATTGGCTTTCACCGTGTGAATGTGGCTAACAATAAACACAATTACAATAATGATGAGGATTATTATTATCATCATCATAATTATTATTATTATTAATATTATAATTGTTATCATTATTATTATTACTATTATTATCATCATTATGACTTATTAAGTAAGCAAATATCATTCCCAAAAACCTGGGGGGATGATTGTACATGCCATCCCCCCACCTTGTGAGGTGGGGGGGGGGGGGATGCATCCCCCTCATCCCCCCCCCCCCCCCCCGTTGTCTACGCCCCTGATTTACGCATCATTTGAAATAGACACAATGGCGCCCTGTGTACAAAGAATATTTTATCGACGGCTAAAACTGTCTTCTGGTGACGGTTTTTTAAAAGTACTTTCGTGCAACCTGACCAATTTCTGTTTATCTCTTTCCATCTTTCTTTCTCCTCCCCCCCTCTCTCTCTCTCTATCTCTCCCTCTCTCTCTCTCTCTCTCTCTCTCTCTCTCTCTCTCGGACATTAATTAACTCTTCCCATTCTTAAAGGGCCACTCTAACCAAAACAGGCTGAAAAAAGAGACATGTAGAATAATTTTTGACGGAGATTCCGAACATGACAATGATTTTTCTTAGAAATCATCAATAATTCTGGAATCTAGCTTTAAAAATGATGACTTATTCAAGTCTCTTCAAGTCTCTCTCTTGTTTTCTTACAGTTCGCCGTTTATGCCACTCTGACCCTCATCATCGCTCCCATCATGTCTTTCGTCTGGGCCATCTTCTTCGCCATCGCACACATCTGTGTCATCTGGTTTGTTCAACCCGCGATCAAGATGCTGTACATCTTCCTAAGGGTCTGCCAACTTTTCTATGTTCCCTGCGTTCGATTTTGTCTGGATCCACTCTACAAGTCGCTCTCTTTGGTTTTCTCGAGTATTCGAGGACAGTTTAAACTGCATAATTCGGATGTCACGTTGAATATGAAAACAATCCAGGTTTAACAGGGCTTCCACCTGTGGACGTGGGGTAAGAGTGGATGCTGCGGACCCCCCCCCCCCTCCCCCTCTCTTTGTTTTAAGGGACGCAGCACCCCCAGAAAGAGCGGTTGGTGCAACTGAGCTGATGGTGATGTCAGCGAGTTATTTAGTTAAAGGGTGGCTTAGAATCAATGTGATTGGTTTTTCTTTTAGAGATTTGTCAGTGAAAATCCGCAGGATGTGAAATGAAAAGTCAAAATAGAGGTTCTTTTATAGAATGTATAACAATACATGTGTTATACAATAGGGTTATTTACGCAATCAACTATTTAATCAAGTTTAAATTTAATACGGAGGCTGATTATCCAGTTTGATGACGGCTTAATTTACTAGCTAGAAAATAGACCGGTTAACTTACATATTCAAACTTATGGATGTTTCTTTCCTGGGGACCAAATGACAAGGTATTCTATTAAACCTGTTATTCATGAACGAACTACAATGTACTTGAAATCCAGTCCGCATAATATACTTGTTGCTATATCGGACAAGATCCGGACCAGCTTTCATGCAGGTTGTCAGGAAAAACCTTTGTTTAGAAAGTATGCATACATTTTGAAAATGTTAGTAAACTGGGAGATTGGGTCGACCTTCATAGCACTTAGTTTTAACGTAGCGAAGTCAAATCACAGATTTCTTGTTCCACAGACTTTTACGCATTGTTCCTTGTACTATATCACTATCATGGCAACGCTTTTGAATCACGCTCATGTTTCTCTGCATATAATCATTTGAATTATATAATAATAATAATAATAATAATAATAATAATAATAATAATAATAATAATAATAATAATAATAATAATAATA